TGGTAGATAAGATGACCAGATGTTCAGATTTAGTGTTGATTAAAATTCCCAGACTTGACCTTTCTCCTACTCTCACTATAGGCTGAGACTTCAATATGTAAAGACAGCCAGATTGTTCTGATATATTTTCTTTTGCTCCAAGGAGACTAACAAACATGCTAATGACAAATAGTAATTCTATTTTCAAAAAAAATTATTTTTAAAAACCATAGTCCCAAGACAAAGACATAGCTACCTTATACTGAACACTTTTCATAATGGTATGTACCAAATTTCTCTCCCAACATTTTGGGTTCACTTGTTTAAAAAAATTCTCTGCAGCTATTATTCCAGGAGAGTAATTGCTTTCCAGCATTCTTGGGACTATTTACATTTGTCAAGAATGGACACAATAAATATCCCTGAACTAGGAGTTAGAAAATCAAGATCCTTTAATGTTCTGGAAGAGATGAATGAATGAATGTAAACATATTCATTAAACATTTGCAATGAGCTACCATAGTGTCCTAAGTGTTGGAGAATACAAATACAAAAGCAAAATAAAGTCCCTAACTCATCCTCCCTGGCTGTATGGCCATGGGTGAGCCATCAAGCCTTTCTGAGCCTTAAACCTATAAATGTTTATTGGATTGGATTGAGCCTTCCGTTTCTTCATCTCGAAAATGGAAGATAATAATGGCTACTTGACGGTATTGTTGTGAAGATCAAGTCAGATGATATGCAGGAAGTATTTTGAAAACCTCAAAGGGTGATATGTAAATGTTTATCATAATTACAAGAATTTTGTCAGCAATTACCTCAGGAGACAGTTCCATCTCAAAGACTGTAAGGTATTCTGATGAAATCAAAGATCTGGACTTTCCCCATATCTCTAACCTCCCCCCTCTTACACCCCAACTAATAATGCTAACTGTTCTTAGTTTGATTTTTGCCAAAAAAAAAACCCTAAAAATGAGCTATAAATATCATAAACAAGATATTTTATAGAAACAGAGTGGCTACTCCGGAGGCAAAATATGGTAAGAGGAAGTGGAGGTCAAATTATTGCACCCAACATTTTCAATCAATAAACATTTATTAAGCACCTACTATGTACCAGGTGGAGCAGCTAGGTGCCACAGTGGATAGAATACTAGGCTTGGAATCAGGAAGACTCATCTTCATGAGTTCAAATCAGCCTCAGATACTAACTGTGTGACCTTAGGCAAGTCACTTAATCCTATTTGCTTCAGTTCCTCATCTGTAAAACAAGCAGGAGAAGGAAATAGCAAACCACTCCCTTATCTTTGCCAGGGAAACCTCGAATAGGGTCATGAAGAATTGGGCATGACTGGAAAATGACTGACAACAACAATACGCTGGGTACTGTGCTAAGCACTGGGTATACAAAAAGAGGCAAAAGACAGACAGTCTCTGACTTCAGGGAGCTCAAAATCTAATACGGAAGATAGTAGACAAAGAAATGCATACAAACAAAATATGTAGGATAAATAGGAAAGAACAGAGGGAAGGCACCAGAATTAAGAGGGGTTGGGAAAGATGGGATTCTAGTTGAGACTTAAAGGAAGCCAGTGGGCAGGGTTGTTTCAGGATGCACGGTAGATCACTCCATCTGCACAAATGTCCATTTACCCTTGAGCTTTTTGGAGGTCATTGCTGCCTTGTAGTGATTGTCCTCCAAATTCTATGTTTTTCCTTTCCTTTTTTTTTTAAAGGATGTTGTTTGGTAGATTCTTGTTGGACTAGATGGCCTCCAGGTTGTCTTCTAGGTCTTCAATTCTGATTCTTCAAATTACTGGCAGACCTTGAACAAGGACTTAGATGAGCTGATTTTCCAGAAAATTTTATGTGTGAAAAGGGAAGGGGTGGAGACAAAGTAATAGTCAAAAAATAAATATTAGGCTTGTTCTGCTTCACATCGGAGGGCAGAAACGGAAGCACGAAGAAGAGACATTTTTGGTTAATGTAAAGAAAAAAACTTTCAAATCATCTAAACTGTCCAAAGTGGGGATAGGTTGCTTTGGAATGCATTGGGTTTTATATCAACGAAGACCTTCAAATGGAAGGTAGATGGGTGCTTTGGAAAAGTGTTGTAGAGGGGATTCCCTTTCAAGTATAGGTAGAATTTCATGATGTCTCTAACTCCAACAGTCAAGGAGTCTAAGAAAGTCCTAGACAAATACAGAAAACAGACTTCACTGTGGCAACAAAAGTGTACTGGAGAAAACATATTCTAAAACCAGTGCAAAAAATTATGTGAGTTCAAAGTAATTAGAAAAGCATAAAAACAGGCAAACAGATGACCAAGGTTTTAGAGCCAAAAAAAGACCTTGGAGATACACAGTTATCCTTACAACAACCCTGGGAGATAGGAACTCTTATTATTCCCATTTTACAGATGAGGAAATTCAGGCAGACAGGTTAAGTTCAATTCAATTCAATAAACATTTATTAAGTGCCTACTATGTGCCACAGTACTGTGCTAAGTGCTGAGGATACAAATAAGAAAAAAAAAAAACCTGAGACAATCCCTGCCCTCAAGGAACTTACAATATAATGAGGAGGCCACCAGGGGGTACACAGTGAGGGGTCATGATGCTCCATGCAGTTGAAACCAAGCAGAAGTGCTGATGAAAAACTGAGTCTTTTGGAAATTGCTGAGTCCCTTATAAAGGAAATCTTTGGGAGATTACTGCTCTTTCCTTCAGCCCTCCAACCTGAGGGAAGAGGCAACTGTGGGAGTTGTGAAGGTACTGAGTGTCAAAAACTGAGTATCGAAAACTGCCAGGTGATGAGATTTCAAATGACTCTTATCCTGGGAGAGGGCCGGTGTCCCATGGAGTTGAAACCAGAATGACTGATGACAAATGGAAAGAATGACTTGCCTAGGGTCACAAAACTAGCAAGTGTCTGAAGCTAGATTTAAATTTAAGCTTTATCCTCTTTGTCCCCTGCTCAAGGTGAGATTCAAACCCAGGTCCTCTGACTCCATAGCCTGTTCTCAGTTCCCTAAGAGACACCAGTCTTTGCTCACTGTCTGTTCTTCTGCTCCATCCCTTTCATCTTCTGATGACTTGCCATCAGAAATGTTTATCTTTCCATGATAAATGTTTTTTAAAAGGACAGTTCAAATACCATTGCAACAAAAAATGATTACCATTCAGTCTCTGATTAACAAAGAAATTTTTGATTCCTAGCCTGACATGCACTTACTTCAAGTCATAGTTGACCTAACAAGAAAGGAATTTGTCCTATCCCTTAGCATTTGTCCTAATTGATGGCACTCTCCTTTTAGGAGAAGCTTGACAGCTGAAAAGCCAAAACAGCAGACTCCAGAGAGAGATTTCTTTTGCAGCTAAAATGCCTGAGTATCAACTTGGATTCCTTCCTGCCTTTTCTAGTATCTGATAAGACTCTGTCTTGGCTTCCTCTGCTATCTCCTCTGGTCTTCCTAGGGGGCTGGTAGAAGTCGGTTCATTATTGTTTAACCCAAAGAGTCACATTTAGACTATTTAAGAAGTGAAGAGGTCAAGTCCACTAGTTTTCCTGCATTGTTTTACTTTATCAGGTTACCAGGATATGCAGAGAGCAAGAGAGAGAGAGAGAAAAAAAAAAGAAAGTGTGTGTGGGTGGTGACTGGAGGAGGTGGGGAAGAGAAGAGAAGAAAAAAAGGGAAGAAGGGACAATGAAGCCATTAGAAAGAAATCATCACCAACAGAGCAAAATAGACACAGGTATTAGGGAAAGTGTTTCAAGGAATACATAGTTCTTTGATTAAGCACATGTTTTAGAAGAGTTTTAGAAGAGTTCTTTTTCTACTTGTTCTATTTGTTTTTTTTAAGAATTCTTAATTTTTTGTGTGTGTGTGTCATGGATCCCTTTGGCAGTCCGGTGAGGCCTAGGGGCCTCTTCTCAGAATGATGGTTTTATGTGCAGAAAAGGAAAAAAATATAGGATTTCAAAGGAAATTAATTTTATAGACATATAGTTATCAAGATATGCTTTTAAAAAATAAAAAGACAGGTTTGTGAACTCCCAGGTTAAGAAACCCTGATTTAGAATCAAAAGAAAAGCATGTCATTAATTATATTCCTGGGTCAAGGTTCTTCTTTGAAAAATAAAATTATAAAACATAGTGCATTTTTTCTCAACTGAAAAGTGCATAGAACATGGCTAACGTTCTGAACTTAAGAGTCAGGCAGACCTGATTCTGACTTTTCTCTCAGACTTTTACTGGCTCTGTGACCATGGGCAAATGTCTTAACTTTTCTGAATTGTAATAACTCCGTGAAATGGGGGATGATAATAATAACACTTATCTCAAAGAATTAATGTGAGTATCAAATAAGATAATATATATAAAATGCTTTACAGAATTTAATGTACCACATAAAATGAGCTATTATAAGCATCATCATTATCAATAATAAAATGTTTTGAAATCACCAGACTAAACAAAAATAGGAATACTGTTTTAAATTTGGGCAATATGTTACATTAATCTTAGGAGAGTTTTTGTGGAAACATCTGAACCATGAGTTAGATGGTACCCCCAAGAAGAAACAATTAAGGATTCTAAAATGATTGGGTTAAATATTCTTTTTAAAAAACAGTGGTAGTTTTTTAAGCCTTCTCACAGCATCAATTACTTTGCACATAGTAAACTAATTCCCTTAATACAGTAAGTATTTGTTGAATGTTTGAGGGAATGAATGAATGAATGAATGTTTAAACGACGAAGTTCTCTTTCATAACTACCAATGCCTGACAATAGAAAATGAAAATGATCTTGAGGGGAAAGGAAGCATAATTCAAGGTTCCAGTAACTGACACTAGATGGAGTCAAGTTGAGTGAAAGATCAATAAGAAAGTTCATCAGAAAAAGCCAGGAGCAAGCAATGGAATTTTGTAGGTTGGCCAAACTCTTAATACATTTCCTATACTTAATGCATTACTCAATGAATGTTCAAATTCCAAATCTTATTTCTCATCCTTTTCAGATCCAACTTGAATTCTTCTGACAGGTGAGTCTTAAAGACATCAGTTAAGATAAAGCAGTGATTTATTTCAAGGAAACAAGAGTCACCTCAGGGATAAATGATGATTTCAGCCACATCATGCCTTCACGAACTACATTCAGAGTCTCTGTGTAAACTCCTAACAGTTTTGACCATTTTGCCAGAAACTCTTTTTGGTTCAAGATGTTGCTAGAACAAGAAGTCAAAAGCTTCCTGGATTATTTTTAGGAAGTTTTTGATCCTCTCTACAGGAGATATTTTGTCAGCTAGGTAGTGCAGTGGATAGAGTGCTCAGCCTAGAGTCAGGAAGACTCCTCTTCATGAGTTCAAATCCAGCCTAGACACATACTATCTGTGTGACCCTGGACAAGTCACTTAACTCTATTTGCCTCAGTTCCTCATCTGTAAAATGAGCTGGAGAAGGAAATGGTGAACCACTCTAGCATCTCTGCCACGAAAACCCAAATAGGATCACTAAGAGTCAGACACAACTGAAATGACTCAACAACAACAACATCAAGAACAAGAGATGCTTATAATACTGCAACTGGGTCTACATTAACAGAGACAATTTTCTGGATAATACATCCCAAAGTACCAAATAAATTTAAAATTTATGGTTAGTCTGGGCAAAAGTAGATTTTGTGCAATAATACAGTTGCTGAATTCAACTTTTAGCGGGTAGACTTAATTTGGAGGCAGTTAGAGTAATTCAGCATCTCAAGCATCCAATCAATTCAATGACTACGACTAGTTAAGTAACTTTCGTGTTATTATGTATATATGTCTGTGCATATAGTATATATACACACACATACGTACATATGTGTGTATGTGTACGTATACACACACACATATACTAATTGTACTATATATATTAATATATATAGTACTAACTTACCTGTATATTATACACACACACACACACACACATATATAAATAGGTTTTTTTTTTTTATTACTTTCTCCTCTTTTCACCAACTGGGTGGATAGTCCCTATATACAGAGGCAAAATAATATGGCAAGTTGAAATAGTTATTGGATTAATTAATCTTCAACAAAGCCTTATATAGCACCCCCTTGGGGGCCCCCTAGGCATCGTAATCAACAGGAAATAATCAGATTGTTTTGTTGTTGTTCAATTGTTCAGTCGTGTCCAACTTTTCATGACTCCACGGATCGTAGCACCCCAGGATCTTCTGTCCTTCACTATCTTCTGATGTCTGTCAAGCTCATCTTCATGGCAAATAAGCAGATGGCATTGACATATGCAGAAGGAGAGAAGGGCCCCTCTATCACATATTCCCTAAAGTAGGCACCCCAAGCTTCATGCCTTAAAGGGGAGTCCTAAGGAGGACATTACATTTATTTACGAAAAAGAAAGGTCCTTCCCCTTTTTCACTTCAGAGCATGCACTGATACCCTCTGATCACTTCCCATCAGTCCATGATGATTAAAAAAGCCCTAAGGGGATGATCAATATACAAGTTTATTTTTAAGCCTAAATTATTGGATTATTTATTTACACAGCTCCAATTCAATCAATCAACGAGATTTATTAAGTGCCTACTATATGCCGGGTACTGTATTAGGCACTGAGGATACAAATACAAAAAAGAATGAAATAATCCCTACTCCCAAGGCATATGCATTCTAGCAGGGAAGATGAGAAATACATACATAAGTATATACAGAAAAATATGAACAGAATAAATACTGAGTAGCTGGATACAAGATAGGGAGGTAGGGAACTAGAAGAAGGAGGCATCAGAAAATCTACAATTCAGTGTCTTAACCTTCTAATCAATCAATGACCATTTATGACCTGGCACCTACTATGTGCCAGGCACTATACTAAGAGCTGGGTTTACAAAAGGAGGCAAAAGACAGTCCTTGCCTTCAAGGAGCTCAAAAATTCATTTTACTTGCGGATGGCCAACACTACTTTCACATACAAATAAGATTGTGAACCCTTTGAAGGCAAGGAGTGAGTTGTCCTTCTCCCTTTATCTCCCGTCTCAGTCACAGGAGTCAACAGATGCTTAACAAGCATTTGATAAATCAAAAATCCACCTCATAAGAAGGTGTCAGGCATGCCAAGGAGCTTTGGCTGCCCATTATCTTGCTTGCTGATTACCATTCCATGCCTGTTCCTTACTGTCTACGGCCTATTGATATTGGAAATCCCTTAGGAATAATGTACAATGAGGCTGATTCAGTATGCATGCTGCTGTTGTGACCCAGAGCCCCAGGCCTGCAGCCTTGGACTGCCTGAAGTGTCCATTAAAATCAGTGGGAGTTTGGCCTGAACAGAACCTACCACCTTCAGACCTATCACCAAATGCTCCTAGAGACTGTGCGCGGATCTCTTTAACTCATGGCTGCTTCCAGAAGCCCCACTGAACAACTCTTCCCTTGGGTTTTTAGCTGCCCCTCTTTATGCCTGTGAATGCCCATGCACATACAAATGTGTCCCTCCCACTCCTCCAACACCCCACCCCTGCCAATTCCCCCAGCCAAAGAATCATGAAGCAAACATTCCTTAAATGTTTTTCATCTTTTCCAGAGATGCTCAAGTGATTGAACTCTAACCAGCAGCTGTTTTCTGATGGTTTGTGATTGGCTTGGACAAGACATGCTACTACTGTTCCCGTGGTGCCTGTGAATCAGCACAGAAGTCTAGCATTCAAGGCTGTTAATTCACCAGGGATCTAAGACAACATATTTACTGACGAAGACAAATGAGTAGAGGAAGAGATTTTTAAATGCATTTGCTATTTACCAAAAAAAAAAAAATTATAATAAAGAGGAAGTACTTTCTTTCCTGGAGGAGGATGATGGCTCATTGTTAGTAGGGTGAGAAGTTGAGTTGTTCTGTTATTAATGGGGATGGATTTGCACTGACCTGTGCACAAAATATTTAATTTCTTTTATAACCAACAGCTTACATTTGCAAGATGGATCATGGGACTAAGGTCTATTGCTATTACCAACTCACTCAAGTATCAAAGCTGCAAGCTTGGCCTCATCAGCACCGTGGCATCCCCATCTGCCTCATCAACTACCTTCCTCGTTACTGCGGCCTTCAGGACACTGTATATATATCTCATAGGACCACAGGATGATTGACCTAGAATTGCAAGGGTCTTCTGAGGCCATGTAGTCTAACCCCCTCAATTTACAGATGACGAAACTGAGGCCCAGAGAAGTTAATGGACTTACCTAAGTTCACACAGGTTGTATTAGTGATGGGATTTGAATCCAGGTTCATTGGATCTAGAGTTATTGCTCTTCTTATTGTATAACATCATTGGCTTATCCCAGGGACATTGAACTTGTCACAAAATCCCAGAGATATAAGGAGGGTGAGATACACAGGGGCTTTGCCTCAGGGAAATATATTTAGAGGGTACTGCTGTACCCTGCAGTCCTTCAGCCTTATTGAAACAATGGAGCTTAGCACCTAAGCTGGTAAGATTAATTATCTTAACTATCAGAAGTGAGAGAGAGAAGGGTGGGATAAGCTTCTTCTCTGTCTAGTCCCTATCCCTACTCCCTCATGCCTCTGCTAGTAGTCTTGACTTCAGGGTCTCCATCACTCTTCTTTTTCCCATTCATCTAAAGCCTTGCTTCACAAAATTCATCCAAGGCATAGTTTGTGGAATGTGTCCTTGCTTCAAACACTCCTAATTCCAGCCTTGATCCAGCCTCCTGGATACCTGTGTAATATATCTGTGTTTCAGGCACATTCAGAGTTCCTAACCCTGAAGAACATGGAGCCTAAGACAGAATGGAAAGTAGTTGGTAAGAGTTCAACTATTATTTTAAGAAAAAAGAAAGAAATAGAGAAAGGTGGCCAGGTCCTTCGAAGAGGAGTAAACTTTTAGCCAAAAAGTACTGGGTAAATAAATAGAAGGGGAATGTAGTATCCCAGAATTAGAATTGAAGAGGATGCAATAAATTCATTAGTCCAACCTGCTCATTGTACAGATGAGGAAAGTGGGCCGGAGAAATGACTTGCCCATGGTGCCACAGTAGCATCATAGAATTGCAGATAAGAGATGGAATGGATTTTAGAGGCAATCTAGTCCAGCAGCAAGGCAGGGACTCAGACCCAGGTCTACAGACTCCGAATCCAAAATTCTTTCCACCACCCTGTGACCTAGCAATGATAGGATAAGGATATCTTGAGAATCTTTTTAATCTTCTTTCAAAAATGACAGGAGGCCCTGTATCAGAATGCACCAACTTATTTCAGGTATGGCATGTGGGTTGGGAAGAGCTTGAAGAACCAGTCCAAATCAAAGGCTATTGACCATTTGCCCATGGTCTTCTCACCACAAAATATCTCATGCCAGGATTTCTTTTCTCTTCCCATTACATTAACCCGGGTGTTTTCAGAACAATCTACAAATCTATTGTAAAAGCAATGCTTGCTATAACAGCCCAAGAAATTGGGAGATACCAGCCCCGATGAAGCTATCCTCTATGGGGCGTTCCTGCCTGTCTGAGTCTATGCTCTCCTCATGCAAGATGAAAGATGAGCTGTATTTCAAGGCAAAGTGTTGTATGATAATAATTCTCCGGGATTCCCGGGGTGTCTTTTATCTGACTTGATAACAATGTAGTTCAGCAGCAGCCTTTGTTAACGCATCACCTAAAGCGCTAATGTGATACTTATAAGTAATTTTGTCTGTGTAAGATAGAATAAACCATCTTGTAAGATATCTGTTAATTGATTTGCTTCCTTTAGCAGCATTTTAATTAAGATCTCTGGTTTGTGAGCAAGAGATGTACACTTATGAAGGAGGCCACATGTTTACTTATTCTTAGAAAATGGATTTAAAAAAAAATAATCTACACACACCAGAAACTGTCAAGTAGCTTAGTTTTAGCATAGACCAGGAGAAAAATTCCCCAAACTCCATTTATTCAATGACTTTGTTCTCAGTGGGGAAGGGCAAAAGACTTACCCGTCTTACGTAGTTTTTCGTTTTGGAGTTGAGATAGGCGAATGATGTTTCAAAAGATGACACAGTCAAGTGGAAGCTAAATCAGTGAATGTGGACTATGTTAAAAAAAATTGTGATTTTGTTGGTACGAAAACCTCCCAAACAGGAAACTCTCTGCCAATGCAGATTTGTTTTTTAATCTGCTGCCTATAGTCTTAAAGAATTACCTAGAAGTGGTGAATTGACTAGAGTCACACAGCTAAAATATATCTGAGGCTTGGACATGAACCCAGGACTTTCTGGCTCTGAGACCAGTGTTCAATCCACTGTGCTTCCTCTTCAGTACCCTCTGGTATGGCTAAAAGGCTTCCTCTATAACTATTTCCAAGCCTAGAACTTGAACTCCTCACCTGCTCAATGGCTTACTTTTTAATTAAATGCAAAGTGTCCCAAAAGTCTTAGCACAGTTTTAAGCTTTAAAGACAATTTCAGCCTTTGTCTCTCTCTTGTCTCTCTTGCTCGACACAAAGAGGGGTTTGGCAGAAGAGATGGAATATTCAGTTTTAAAGAAGCTTAAAATCACACAAAGATATTTAGTATATAAGCCCAAGGAGCGTGGCTAATTCTATTAACCAGTCACAAAATGTTCCTTATGTCAGTTGTCTTCACCAAAAGCCAAGACCCTATAATGCCCTTAAATTGATTAAGAAACTTATTCACACATTGCTTCAGGGTTGTTGGAAAACTTAACAACTCCATTACACTGAAATGATCGGAATGATTATCTTTTTTTTTTTTATTGATCCTATTTACAATTAATTCACTTTGTTCTATAACTGCCTAAGTCGTGGTTCCTTATCTCTGAACTCAGTTCAGAAACTTAGCTGGCCTGTAACGAGTTAAGTTTACTAGTTCAGTTCTCCTGCTAATCACAGTTCAATTCTTGGCTCAAGAAAATCTGTTGTCCCTGAGGGATGCAGGTGGACACCAGGGAGGCTGGGTCCACTATCTTAGTGGGGTTGGGGGGAGGCGGAGATTGTTGCTAGCTTTCATTCCAAATTCCAACTAATAATGATGTTCCCCATGCCTCATCTTTGTAACCAATCATATTGATTGATGTTTAGATCTAATAACCAATCGTAACACATCCCCCGCCTAGGAAATCCTGTTCTCTGTTCTATACTGCCCCAAGCTACAAAGAAAGCTGCCCCCTTCACTTGTAGTCTTAGTTTTCTTCAGGAAGCTTAGATCCCACTTATTGGTAAATTCATACTTAAACTAATAAATTGATTATGCTCAGAACTTTATACCTTGGTTTACTTTGACTGTAACCACACTTTGTAATTATATTCTGAGTCATCTATGACTATATTTATCTGAGTTGTGGAGAATCTCACCCTCCATTATGATAATAAAAAGAAAGCACATAGTTGTGGATAGGAACTGCCCTGGGTTTAAGCCTTGATTCTGGAACATACTGACCATGTGACCCTGTGCAACTCAGGCAACATTTAGTGCTCTAGGCAACTTCCAGCCTACAAGCTGTAGAGCAGATACCCTCTGTATTGGTGGAGGATGTTTCCTTCATTTCCTTTACCAATTAAATCACAGTTCTGGCCTAAAAATGATTATTATGGCTAATATCTATATAGCACTTACTGTGTATCATGCTCTGTGCTAAGTGCTTTTACAATTATTAGCTCATGTGGTCCTCACGATAACCCTAAGAAGTAGGTGCTATTATTATCACCATTTTACAGATAAGGAAACTGAGACAAACAAAGCTTAAGTGGCTTGCCCAGAGTCACACAGCTGGTGTGTATGAGGCTGGATCTGAATGCAGGTATTCCCAACTCCTGGTCTGGCACTCTATCCACTGTGCCAATGATGATGATAATGATAACTATTAAAATTTATATGGCACTTTATGGGTAGTAAAGACTATCTCATTAAGTCTGGAGTGCAAAGTAAGGAAAACTCATCTTCCTGAGTTTAAATCTGGCTTTAGACATTTACTAGCTGTGTGACCTGGGCAAATCACTTAACCCTGTTTGCCTCAGTTTCCTCATCTGTAAAATGAGCTGGAGAAGGAAATGGCAACCCACTTCAGTCTCTTTGCCAAGAAAACTTCAAACGGAGTCACCAAGAGCTGGACACAACTGAAAACAACTGAACAACAACAATTTCTGTGACTTCGAGCATATCACTTCATCTTTTAAAAGTCTTGATTTCCTCATCTATAACATGAATGAGTTGAATTAGGTGACCTATCAATCCCTGCCAGTTCTGAATCCATGATACGTGCATCCGAAGGCATAGAAACCTCAAAACAACCTTGTGAGGTATATATTATGGGGGGGGTCATTATTCCCATTTTACAGATAGCACAACTCAGAATTACCAATGTCAACACTGCCATCTGCATTTGAGATTTCACTTCCAAGGTCCCCAACCACTGACTAGAGAGTTGCATACCAAAGAAAAATTTGCTCTGATTATGATTACTCCTTGACAGTCTCCACCTCCGATGCAAAGCTATCTACTTTTTAAGGACCTCTAAGGTAGGTCCCCTTTTCAAGAATGAATAACCCTCTTAAATTTAATGTCAAACCATTTTGACCCCCATAGACAATTAGTATCTGCTGATTGAGAAAATATATGATGATAAAATGGTGCTATGAATTGAATAATGCATTTTAAATGAATTTGTATTTTATTCATTGCAATAGTACTTACTTACATTTGAAAAAATGTGAGAAAGTATGTAATACATTTACTTCTTTTGTCTACAGAAGCCATGTTTGCTTACTAATTATACTGAGTCATTTAGTGGGATGGCTGGTGCTTTCAGAATCTGGATATGTAGCCCCTTATCAGCAAAGCAGGTGATGAGAAGTATTGCTTTTGCTATCTAGAAGCAGACATTGGGGCAGCTAAGTGGTGAGGTGGATAGAGCACAGGCCCTGAAGTCAGGAGGGCCTGAGTTCAAATCTGACCTTTGACCAAGCATTTGACACTTACTAGTTGTGAGACCCTGGGCAAGTCACTTAACCCTAATTGCCTAAAAAAAAACCAAAACAAAAACATAAAAGGAGACATTGAAGGATTGTGGGAGGTACAAATAGGATGAGGAAGCCAGGGCACTTTGGGGCCTTTAGGGGTAGATGTCAGGTCAGAGAGATCTGCAGGGAAGGTGCTGTTACCTCAAATGGACTGCAATCATGACTAATTGGAGGCTTGTCTGGCTCATTCTTCTGCTTAAGAAGAGTACCTGTATAGAATTTGCTGTTGCACTGGTACTTGATGAATTTATCCTCTTTCCACTTTCTCTCTCTCCCCTGCCTCACTGCTGCAAGGTGAATGGTGTTGCTTACCCTTGGGAATTTCTGTTCTCTTTAAATCTTGTGTGAGGGTATTTTTACGTTTCATTTATTTATTTATTTGTTTCTGATTTATTTATTTGCTGTCTGTACCTTTATAATGAGTTTTGTCTCTAGATAAAGACAAGGTGATTTTTATTGCTTTCTGAGTAAGCGTTTGCTATAAATGAACGCCCCGACCCCAATACATAGAAGGACGAAGGTGATTGGATCCTCACTAGCCCTGGACCTGCTTGGAAGTTTATATTGACTCCGTCTCTGTCTCTCTCTTGCACGACACAAAGAGGGGCTTCAGAAGTCTGGTGGAAGAGATGGAAGACTCAGCCTTGGTTATCATTCCATGTTTGTATTTGTAGACCTTCAACTCATTTTTTAACTCATTCCCCACCCCATCCCAATTGTTTCCAGGATCTTTGCCAAGAATGCCCCAAATGGGGGCGTGCAGAGTTGAACACAACTGAAAAATGGCTGAACAAGAGCAAAAGAAGATCTTCAATCCGGTTCTACGTTAGCTAAGAGAATTGAATAAAAATGAGACAATGGTGTGAATACTCAAGGTCTTACTTCAGTGCTTTGGGCCTGAAATGTCTTAGTGATGGTGATGATGATGATGATGATGGTGGTGATAGCTGATATTTATATTCCACTTTAAAGTTTACAAAATGTTTTACACACATTATGTCATCTGATCCTCGTAGCAGTTCTATACCTTAGGTACGGCAGGCATTATCACCCCCATTTTATTGATGAGCAGACTGAAGCTCAGAGAGTTTAAGTGACTTGCCCTTAGTCACACTGCACATAATTGAGGTAAAAGAATTTTCATGGATTATTTAGGCGACTGCTTAGTTCTCCCCCTCCAATTTGTTCATATAGACCTAGCCAAATTGAATTATTATTGCTCATTTGTCACACCCTGATGGTATCTTTCTAAAAATTTTCTCTTTACTGAAGGATGATTAATGTGTCTGATGAATCGGAGATTATGACAAATGACATGGAAGGAGATAATTTAGTCAGAAGGAAGAACCTGGAAACCAGTTAATAGCTGCTATTGGGTCTGAAGGTCTTAGCATGACTTTCTGTCTTGTTCTGCACATGGAGTATTTTGCAGAGGTCAGTTTGGATTCTAGCATTTCTTTCAGGACTCGTGCAATGGAACAAGGTCCTAGATGCTGGGAGGTCATTACCCAGGTCCTTCTTATCACAGCTGTAACTGTGATTCTGGTCAAGTGGGAGAGGTGGAAGAAGGTGACCAACAGGAAATAATATAAGGCTGCTCCTAAGGAGGAACCCATTAGCAGAGGGAGTGTGTTGGGGCAGAGCTAGTGAGGAACTCACCCAGGGTCACCATAAGGCCCCAGGAGCCCACCCTTAATGGGCACTCAGCAGTGG